GGTACATAGTTCCAGTGTGTTGGCTGAAGTTTATACTAAAGGGAATGTCTTCGGATGTTTTGAAGGATAATTCTTATTTTGAAAATCTAAAGACTAAGTGTCTGGCTTAATCGACTCTGAGTAAGTAGTTATCTTGGCATTCTTACATGCTGTACAAAGCTAACATGAGTGTATGTTTTCTGTGATAAACCCCTAAGTGTTTCTAATGCCACTTTTTTCATACACTGTTTAAAATGTTTCTGTTTTCCAGGATGGAGTCTATCTTGTAAAATGCCCTCTTCGTACATGGTACAATGTCCTGTGTTGTTTGTTTTCTTTCTAGCAAAACCTAATGCCCAAATCACCATAGTCGCCCTAGAAACATTTATTGGGGTTCAACTGTAGGCCTGTCTCTGGAGACTCAAAGATAGATAAAATTTGGATCTTGTCCTCAGGGAACTCATGGAGGAACAGGGATCTTGCCACATTAAGGATAATGGAAAATGCATTAAAATGTGTTAAACGCTATGGAAGAGGGTACTCTAGATGCTGTGAGATCACAAAGGAGATGGTTTGAGAAACTGGCCTTGAAATATGATCTTGGTGAATTGAATAGGCAAACTCTGTAAGAACAAGAGGCTTGTCTGAGTTTAGGATGAAGAATTTACACATGCAGAATTAGGGGACATCATTAGGGGCCCCCCTTTTTTTCTTTTTCTTTGAGTTGGAGTCTCAGTCTGTCACCCAGGCTGTGGCATGATTATGTCTCACCACAGCCTCAACCACCCTGGCTAAGGTGATCCTTCAGCCTCAGCATCCCAAGTAGCTGGTGCTACAGGCACACACCAACCACACCTGGCTAATTTTGATTTTTTTTGGTAGAGATGAGGTCTCGCTATGTTGCCCAGGCTGGTCTTGAACTCCTGGCCTCAAGCATTCCTCCCACCTCAACCTCCCAAAGTGCTGGAATTACAGACATCAGTCACCATGCCTAACTAATTTCACCTTTTCGTTTACATGTGTGTGTGCCATGATTCTTCCTTAGAGGTTTATTCCAATAACATTTTTTATATTTCTGCTATAATTAACTTCATTTCACCCTGAGCTATACTGTAAAAGTCATGGTTTTAATTCAGAAAAGTTAATTATCTAATCTAGGTTACTATTTCAGGGAGATGTGGAATTTTAGCTTCCAAGAAACAAGATTAACTAAAAAATTTACACTTGAAGTAAAATATAGGTCTCTCCCTGTTAAAAAAGATTTAGCCTATTATGCATTTGAAGTTAATGGACATTTTCTAGATTCAGGCATAGCCTTTCTAATAGCTTGTCTGTGGTAGTAAATCACACCTTTTCTCTTGTGGTTTTTATTTTTTGTTTTCATTTTCTTTTAGTAATTTCATAAGCTATTACTAAAGTTTATTGCTGGGAAGGTTTTGATTAAATTCTTAACTGGGCATTTTGAAATTAAAACCATTACTGGAAGAACAGTAACAAGGGTTATTTAATTATATGGAATAGTTGGATATTGTTTAAGCAGGAACTTGTCCATTCTGAGGTATTTTTTTAAAGAAGCTCTTATTTTCAGGTGACAAGACTTGTAAGTTAGCAAATATATAATAATTTTCTTCTCCTGATCAGTTCAGACCTCATCTTTATTGCAACCTGATAATACATCAATATATTCGACGTATACATTGATCTTGATGGTTCCTCAAATTCCATTGAGGTTGAGGCCCTTCAATCTTAACTCTAGATTAACTGTTTAAATATATGGCACTTGCAGCCAGGCTCGGTGGCTCAGCCTGTAATCCCGTGCCTTGGGAGGCTGAGGTGAGTGGATGCCTGAGCCCGCGGGTTCGAGACCCGCCTAGGCAACTTGGTGAGACCTCATCTCTACAATAAATCAAAAACTAGCCGGTCGTGGTAGCGCGCGCCTGTAGTTCCAGCTACTTGGAAGGCTGAGGCGGAAGGCTCACCAGAGCCCAGCAGGTCGAGGCTGCGGTGGCCAGGAGCAGCCACTGCACTCCAGACTGGGCAACAGAGTGAGACTTCAACTCAAAAAAAATAGTGGCTCAGCCTGTAATCCCGCGCCTTTAGGAGGCTGAGGTGAGTGGATTGCCTGAGCCCGCGGGTTCGGGACCCGCCTGGGCAGCGAGACCTCATCTCTACAGTAAATCAAAAAATCAGCCGGGCATGGTAGTGCATGCCTGTAATTCCGGCTACTTGGAAGGCTGAGGCAGAATGATCGCCGGAGCCCAGCAAGTCGAGGCTGCAGTGGCTGGTGGCCAGGAGTGGCCACTGCACTCCAGTTTGGGCGACAGAGTAAGACTCCAACTCAAAAATAAATAAATAAATTTTTTATATATATATATATATATGGCACTTGCTAAAAAAAACACTGAATTTACAGAGTAGCCCTCCCACCTCTGCAAGTTGAAATTTGAATGAGGTCCATCTAGTTAATCTCATCACAGAGCTGCTAACCCACCTGGCATTGCTGTCACACAGGTGTGATTGCTGGTTTTGACTGGATCTCAATTGTATTCAAACCGTATTAAGGGAGGGCTTTATGATAAATACAGAAGGTGACCTTAGGTAGTTTCTAGGACATGTTGGACCAGGCCTCGATAGCTTGTCTTCAGCATGTTGAAACTAGGAGAATGATTTACTTCGGTTCTGCTTTTTGAAATTTCCTGTTGATTTGGTATCATGAGTAGAGAGGGAACCTGAGTTTTGTTTTCCATTTTCCTTAGATGATGAACATGCTTAGTGCTGTGCATGTAGCACACATGCATTCCATCACACCACATTGACGGTGTTTTCATTTTATAGATGGTATTTGAGACCTGGTGCAACTTGCTCCAAGCAGGTGATAGCGGAGTTAGGATCTTGACCCTCACTACACTGTTTGTTGTCTTCAAGAGAGAGAATTTCATTGTGGGAAACGAGAGAACAGATGCGGTTTAAGTTAAATTTAGTTTTAGACTAATTTAATACTCCATTTAAGAGAACAGAATAACTGTACAGTTAAAAGTGGAGGGGGTTTAAATGAGGAGGAATCCAGTTAGAATTAGAGTGGTCTTTGTTGAAAGAGTAGCATGTTTATAGAAAGGGAGCTGACATTAACTTGTCCTAAAACATTGCAAGGAAGAGGAAGGTGCTTACCACCACAAAAACCTATGAGTCTATGTTTTTGTGAAGTTGTAAAAAAGAGTAGCTTGGTAGTATATGTCCGCTGATAGCATATTTCCATGTGTTTGATATCTTCCCAGTAGAATAATCAGCTCTTATTTTCCCTTACAGAGTCAACTGTTCATTTTATTTCAAAATTGGAGCGTGTCGTCATGGAGACAGGTGCTCTCGGTTGCACAATAAACCGACATTTAGCCAGGTTTGTTTACTTTTTCTTTTTTTTCCCATGTAAATTATCAAGATTTCATGTACTTTTTAGAGGCAATTAATGAATAATTTTTACACTTTAAGCAAGTCATCATTTTTCTCTAGTTGTTTTATTTCCATTTGTGTTTTGTTTAAATGAGAATAAGGAGGTGAACCACTCCCAGTGGAAGGTCTGAGAGCACCACTCCCTGTTCTTAATCATTAGAGAAACTTTTTAAAAATCAGTTTTTAGTGTTGCCTGTGCCTTATACTTGCTGCCCTGCCATCCTCCTCGCCCCCTCTAGTAGACATGGGGCCAGAGGGCGCAGCCGTGCCAGCCTTCACCTAGCCTCTTTTTTGGACACTGGTGGATGCAGAGTGGACTTTCTGTTCTCTGCTCTCTAGACAGTAGACCAGGCCCTTCATGCTGCTCAGGGTTCTCAGGGGCTGTCTTCACGGACACTTTTTCCTAGTTGAGAAAACAGCAAGTTGCACCATATGGAAATGTGAAAAAATGGAGCTTAACAGTAGAAGATGTGCATAAGTTGTTTGTAGCAGGTCTGTTCAGTTAATTAAGAGACTTAGATCTGCTCAGAGCTCAGTCAAAAGTTGTGATTTTTGAATTTTAGTTTTAGTTAATTTTTTTTTTTAAGCCAAGAGTGTGCACCCTATATGGGATCACTGATTGATTAAAGGAAGAAAGCACTCTCATAGGAGCAGAAAACTTCTGCTGCAATTTATGAGAATATTTGAAATTTGAAAATCGATACTCGAGCGTTTCTAGACTGAAAACTGAGCTCCTTCCAATTTGGTAGTCTAACATGCAACCTTGGAACTGTTAGATGACTACTGTGTATGGCCCACTCTGCCTTTGAGTTCACATATTTCTGTATGTTTTCCTGTAAGCATTTAAGACAATCTTCCACTTGGTATAAGTGAGCTGGAAAAAAGAGGCATGAGTATTTCTCATTGGAGGCCATGGAAAACCCATAGTGCAGTGTGTTTTTAGAAGAGAACAGGATGATGGTTTTCCCCTCCATTATTCTCATCGCTATGCGGTTAGTATGACAAGAATCTATCTTGTAACAGCACTCAACATAACCCTGTTTCTTTTTTTTTTTTTTTTTTTTTTTTTTTTTTTTGAGTTGGAGTCTCACTCGGTTGCCCAGACTGGAGTGCAGTGGCCGCTCCCGGCCACCACAACCTCAACCTGCTGGGCTCCGGCGATCCTTCCACCTCAGCCTTCCAAGTAGCTGGAATTACAGGCATGCGCCACCATGCCCACCTGATTTTTTGATTTATTGTAGAGATGAGGTCTCGCTGCCCAGGCAGGTCTCGAATCCACGGGCTCAGGCAATCCGCTCACCTCAGCCTTCCAAAGGCATGGGATTACAGGCTGAGCCACCGAGCCTGGCTGACCCTGTTTCTTTTTATAAACTTCAGAATATTGGAGAACTTGCTTATTATCATTGTCTTTTTAAAAATGTTTTTGTTTAGTAATTGACTCTCCTAACTAAACCAGTACCCAGAGATGGTGCAATAACCAAGTACCTTAATTGTCCACCAGTTGATCTTTGGAGGGATTACTTATAGATTTGCCAAATGATGGCCTAAGAAGGGGTAAATTGTTCCCTGTTGTAGAAGTGTTTTTCTACAACTAGCCAGAGGCACTTGCTTTATTTTTTTCTGACTCATGAATTGCATCAGATTATTAGATGTGAAATTAATTTAGGCACTGTGGATCAAAAAACATGGTGATTCCATTGAAATTTGTTAGGATCAGTAGTATATGTTAACTTAAGCATCTTAGTTTGGTTTGCTAGTTTGGATTGGTTGGGTGGTTTATACATAATCCGAGCTGCTCTTGCGTTTAATGGAGAACTGCATTGCCCCCTGAAGTGAAGTTTCCTTCGTTAAACAGCCACTACCAGATTATCTGGGTGAGACCTACAGTGAATTCTACTGTTGAATAATCAGGCTCAGTTTAGCTTTCATCAGAGTTGTCCCACTGCAGTAATTTCTGCTGAAAGCTGAGTAAAGTCAGCCCTGGAAAGCATTCCAGGCCTGGGGATGGCTTGGGGAGGATGTTGGGTCCTGAGTGCAGGTGCCTGAGTCTGAGTAGTTAAGTGTGTGCAGTCTAGCTATGGGACCTTTCTTCTAAGCGGGTTTCCTGGCTCCAGACCTTTGGGGAGCATACCACTTCTCTATAAGCATAGCTAGAAATTTTCAGAACTGGTTTTGTAAAACCACTAATAAGACTACTTCACACAAATGGTTGAAACTAAACATTTATTTTTCTAAATCATGCAGTTACTGATTTAGCTTGTAAATCTTTAGCATAACTCAGGGTGGGTTTTTTTGGTAAGTTGCTTACAGTGATATGGACATTAAGATTTATGTAATATATTAGCCTACTAACTTAAACATGGTTTGTTTTTTCAGACAACTTGATTTTAAGAAGAACGGTACAGTGTAAGGTTTCAAGTCTGCCTGATCCAGTTTAAAGCACAAGGGCTAAAAGGATTTTTTTTCCTTAAAAGAAGGATTGGAAAAGAGCAAATGTTTTAAGCTATTGTATTATGTAAACAGAGATCCCACCAAGAAAGTGTAAATAAGAGTCAAGTATCCATGACAGTTAAGAAACCTGTTTGGTGTGCCTGTTTTGCTAAGAGACCAGAGAACTTGATGTGTACTGCATACAATTGAGTTATGCATTTGGTTTCAAAAAACTATTTTGTGTGGGGAATATGTTATAATGTGAATTTTTCCACATCTTAGTGTCTGCTAGCTTGAAGTACAAGAAAAATGGCAGTGTTCTATTATTGAGCTTGTATTAAAGCCCTTTAACATTAATAATGTGGGACTACTCTAAACAACAATTACAATTTCTTCTTGGTTGCTGGCTGACTTGACCCAAGTCACTGCTCAAACTCTGTTTTCATAATATGATGGTTTTGGTGTACTCTTCAGAAGACAAGTGTCTGACTTGCGGGAAAAAAAAAAAAAACAGACGTTTAGCCATTTGCAAACAAATTGTCTCTTTGCAATTGTCTAATATATGCACAGCAGCCAGTAGAATTCCCCTTTTTATTTTTTTTTCCCCGCAGACCATCTTGATTCAAAACATCTATCGTAATCCCCAAAACAGTGCACAGACGGCTGACGGCTCACACTGTAAGTCCCACAGTTGGAGAAATTTTTTTAAAACAATGGTGTTAAAGAGCCCACTCTTAATTGAGACAAATAATGTTGGCTTCTGAGCTGCTGACATAGAGCTGTTGCAAACAGGACAAGGTGCTGGAACTCCTTGGCGAGCACAGCAAGAACTTGATATTTGGCCACGTTCAGGCTTGCCCCTTTAGGGAAAGTCACTGGTCGGGCCTCCTCCACTGGTTGACATTGTCATGAGAGCAGGCCCGCCCATGTGAAGTGGGTTTTAACATTATTAGCTCATCACTGGTCTTTACAGTGACTGAACCCCTGGCCTTTATTAAGTTCTTTCTGTAAAATTAAAAATCTTAGGAATATTAAGGAATCAATAAGGTAAGTCACCCAATAAGTGTGGGTTTTATTTCACCATTATAATTTTTCCTCTAGGAAGTAGAGATTTCATGATATGTAATTATTGTATTTCTCTAATACAGTATTTTTTTCCATCTGTTTACATAGGCTCATTAAAGGTTTTCTGTAATTTCTAAGAACATTTTGGTGGCCTGGCAAGCTATTTGCACGATGCCTGAATTGGTATTTTGGAATAGAGAGTTTTTACATTCTGTAAACAGAAATGCAGTATTAGCGTATCATGAGATCTCTGGTCCATGGCAGTGTTAGGGTATTTCAAGACAGCCATCAACTAAGAGAAACATCTCTGCTCTGAAGAAATAACTTGCTCTTTTTTCAGCACTGAGTCACGACTGAAGCGATCGCCACAGGCAGCCGGTGAAGTGTTTACCTTTAATTTTCCATAATATAAAGTTGTTGCGTTTTGTATTTCAGACCATTGCCCTCTTGAACATTTACCGTAACCCTCAAAACTCTTCCCAGTCTGCTGACGGTTTGCGCTGTAAGTTCATACAAGTTCCTTCCCTGGTTCCCTGGGCTTGCGTGTCAGAGCTCAGTGTCCACTCCATCTGGTCTGCCGTGCTAGTGTCGAGAACTGCATTTCACTAGAGGTGGCAAGGAGCTTTTGTCCCACTGACCCCATGGAAACCTCTGGAGATTTGAACTCCTGCCCACGTGTTGAAAAGGGACTGGAGAGGGAGCCCTTTACAACAGCCAGGAGCTGCTGCTGCTGGCTTTGCCTTTACTCTGACCGTCATGGGGGGTGTGCTGCAATTAAACATCAAGTTATGTTCTTCCCTCTCAGGAGCAACAGTATTTGAACGTTTCTCTCACTCTCTGGAACTTACTGTTTTGAAATTATTTTTCAGATTTTCTTATTAGCCTTTTTTCCTCGAACTCCATTTTGGAGGTCACGCTTTAGTTGTGAGAACATTGTTCTGAGAATGTTTCCCAAGTGAGGCTCTGTACCTCACACCAACCCTGAGTTCTTACCCACACCAGCCCTTTGCGGACTCCACCTATGTGGGTGTGCTCAGTTCAGACAGGCCCTTGACAGAAAAGAGACTTGATTTTTATCAGCACGTGCATAGATAAAATCTCCAAGTTTAGGAGTTGGAATTAGTTTGCTGCATTTGGAACACCAAGGGTCTTTGGTGGGGAAATAGATCTAAACTGGGCTTTCAGTAGGTACTACCAGTTTCTTCCAGTACTGGGAAGTAATACATTTAGATTGTGAATATTTACTTAGTGGTAGTTTTTAAAGACTAAGATAGATTGTTATCTTTGGAAAACTCAGAAAACTAAAATTTTTATAATTATCCAGCTATAGAATTACTGGAATTTAGTTATTTGTGGATAAATTGAAATGAACACCTGGACTCTTGTTAAAATCAAGGAGTCCAAACCAAAGGGTAGGTAGGTGCTTCTTATTTACCAGTTTGTTGTTAAGCAGTAAAAATTGAGGTGCCTTTGGGTAGCCACAAGCTGAAATTGCCTTTGGGTACACCCTTGAACCAGAGCTCCTTGGTCTGTAGGTAACCTATATTGGGTCAGTGATTCTGGGGGCCACCCCCTACTTGAGCTGGCCCCAAATTAAGAGGTCTCAGGGTTATGTACCCATGCACACAGGGGGCACATTTCTATGTGAGGCTGCGATTTTCTCGTAAACTTTTTTTGCTGGAACACTCGATGTTTTTCATGTTAATACTGACCTTATCAGTAGAGATTTCTTTCCCTGAGTCCAGTGGTAGCAGGAGTCACTTGGTAACCCTTGGTTTAAAATACCTGGTCTCACGTTTTGTTTGTTTGTTTTTTTTAAGAAATAAGATCAATAGGTGGAGGGAAGTGTTTATATATGTACCTACTAAATAATTTTTGTTAACAACCCTGCCCTGGGATAAAAATGAATAAAAAGTAGGTGACTGAGTAACAAGAATTAATAATTCTTTGCCCTGATTGTTTATTTGGGGACTGTGTATGCTTTATTGACAATAGAATGTTGTATTAGTTTTCTTTGTGTCTTTATTTACAATTCACAGCACTCTTGGTTTGCGTATGCTAAATACTAAAAGTTTAGCTATTACTAAATATTCCAATTCTGGGGTCTAGATTGTACAAATTAAATGAAATTCTAATTCTGCATTTTAGGAAGAAACCAGTTGCCTAAAATTAGTGACTCTTCTTAACATTCCCTTTCATATGTAGAAAAATTAACTTCATATTTCTGCAAGAAAACTGCTTTATTTTCCAAGTTGTATTATTTAAAATAGAGTGAGTCATTTTAGTAACATTTTAGTTCATCAGTATCTTAATGTACTTGTCATTGCCTTTCAAGTCATTTTTTATTGATTCAAAAATTTTAAGGAGCATGAATGTAGCCAGTAATTTAAAATAACCACCACAAACCTTTTCTCAAAAGCTGCTAAAACGTTGAGCAAGTAAATATTTTTTTTTCTTCTTCACGTTCTTTCTGATTTGGAAAAGGAAATGAATTTTATCATTCCAATTTTAGTATATGTGCTGCCGAAGTGAGCACCGGAAATGGTTTTTAAATAATAAACTCTGCCCTTTGGAGTGGGCTTTACTGTTGTTTATAACTTGATTTCTACACAGGGAAGGAGATGCATTCCTGGTAGCTTTTAAATTGGAACATCCTGGGATACCATTGGCAGGCTATAAGAAGTCATTTTTGTGTTCAATAAGTTTTGGATTCGAAACTGGATTCCTGAAAATTCAAAAATTAAACATAGCCCCAGATAGGTTAGAAATTGAACTTAAATCACTCTTGGGATCAGAAGATAAGAAGCTAGTTTTTCTCTTTAAAGATAAAATGCATTTGGGGGTGAGCTCAAAGGCAGCCTAGTGTTATCCAGATCCCTCTGCCAGCAGTCAGATGCCTCTGGTGGGTGCACCAGGTGAGGCAGCCAGACATGTCAGCAGGTCTCGTCCAGGAACGTGACCCGTGGAAGGTAACGATGGAAGACTGAGCCGGCCCATTCTTGACACCAGCCCCTGATCTAACTGATTGAAACATCAGATTATTGCCAAGCCAGCTTTCTGATTTCTCTGGGTTTAGACAGCTCTAGAATTTGAACACAAAAATTTGGTAGCAAGTCTGATGATAGTAGGAATAGAATGTAAATATGCAAAATCTACCCATGCAGTGGATGTGACTTCATCTAGTATGTGTGGATTATGAAGAATAAACTGTTGAAAATAGTTTTGGAATATAAAATAATAATGCTTCAACAAAGCACTAACTTTCCCTTTATTTTGGGGCATCCAAAATATTGTAATAGTGCCTGGTAATTATCTTACTGAGTCTTTATGGTTGCTTGTGTTTTCATCACATCAAAAAGAGTTTTATAGCATTCTGTGGCTGGCAGTCGGTAAAAGAGACTAGTTAGGAACATAAGTTCTTAATCACCTACCCTGATTTCAGGTTTCATTTAAAACTAATAAAAGGGGGGGCAAATCGGTACTTACTTGGCCTATTCTAAATCTTAAAAGGAAGAAATTTTATTTTAAAATTTAATTTGAGAGTCAACTTTTTCCTCACACTTTCAGAAAACGTGGCCCTTTGGTTGCTGATTGAAATTGGTTTTGATTTTAATAGCTAGAATTGGGACTGTCATGGGGGCATTTAAAATCTCACCACACTTTATGCCATTAACAAGTAGTTGTGTGACACAGCCTCCTCAGTGCTCCTGCAGAGTGCAGCTCTGTTGGGCTTTTTTCTAGATAACCTCGTGTGTGTGACTGTAGCAGTTTGAGTTTAAGCACAAGAGTTGGCTGTGTGCTAACACATTCTAACCAGCAAGATTTCTGTTGTTTCCAGGTGCTGTGAGCGATGTTGAGATGCAGGAACACTATGATGAGTTTTTTGAGGTAAGATAATTGACCTCTGTAACTGATAGGCCTGTTCCCCTTCTGTATCTGTTTGGAAAGAATTACAGTTTTTCTCTACTAATATACATGAGTTATTATTCATTATGCTCTTTAATGTGCAGTGATCCTTAAACTCCTGTGATCTCCCTTCAGGAGGTTTTTACAGAAATGGAGGAGAAGTATGGGGAGGTCGAGGAGATGAACGTCTGCGACAACCTTGGTGACCACCTGGTGGGGAATGTGTATGTCAAGGTAGGAATGCGATGGTGTGCATGGCAGCTCTGTGTGCCAGCAGCTGAGGCTGGCAAATTAAGAGTGGGTGCCCTGGCAGCTGCTGGCCTGAAATCCTAAATGCTCGGGCTCACTTGAGGACTTGGATGCACTGAATTAGCACTCACCAGCTGTGTCTCACGCATTGGTGGCCAGCCCATGTGCCCTGTCAGCAGAATTGGAGGGAACCATGGGACACCATGTTGCCGTTATAGATAGTGTAGGGTATTTAATGGCTCTTGCTTAGCAGCTTTCTGAACTAGGGAAAAATTAGCTTACTTAGGTGTTGGGTTTCTTTTTCCTTTTTTATTAAATTTTCTTTGCCTATACAATCGCTACATTTGTTCCCTTAACCAATTGAATTTGTAAATGAAGGCAACATGTGGCAAAATGTTGGGTTATCACAAAATTAATTGTAAATAAAGAATTGGCTGCTTTTTAAATTGTCTTATGGCGTCATTCCACCTTACCATACCTAAGTGAGCACATGTATGTGTTTGGATCAGTAATTTAAAATGTGCTATTGGGCCAAGCATGGTGGGTCACGCCTATAATCCCAGCACTTTGGGAGGCCGAGGTGAGAGGATTGCCTGAGCCCACAGGTTCAAGACCATCCTGGGCAGCTTGGTGAGAACTCATCTCTACAATAAATCAAAAAATTATTGTACCACTGGGCATGGTGGCGCGTGCCTGTTCCAGCTACTTGGAAGGCTGAGGCGGAAGGATGCGGTCAAGGCTGTGGTGGCTGTGAGCATGCCACTGCCCTCCAACCTGAGTGAGAGTGAGACTTCAACTCAAAAAAATAAATTAAATATGCTGTTAAAATGTGGGTAGCAAGTATTTTTGTTTTGTCTTTTCAGTTTCGTCGTGAAGAAGATGCGGAAAAGGCTGTGATTGACTTAAACAACCGTTGGTTTAATGGACAGCCGATCCACGCCGAGCTCTCGCCTGTGACTGACTTCAGAGAAGCCTGCTGCCGTCAGTACGAGATGGGGTGAGTGTTGGGGGCAGGTGGCGCAACAGCTCCGCAGTAGCCTGGTCCAGGGCTGTATGCACATGAGGTAACAAGTGTCTCATTCTGACCCACAGAGAATGCACCCGAGGCGGCTTCTGCAACTTCATGCATCTGAAGCCCATTTCCAGGGAGCTGCGGCGGGAGCTGTATGGGCGCCGGCGCAAGAAGTGAGTTGTCTGTGTCTGTGGGAAAGCTGGCTGATTCTGGCTTCCCCAGACGATTCGGCATGGGTGTCCTTCTTGTTCTTTAAACAGCATGACTTAGAACATCATACATACCCTGAAGTCTGAAAATGTGCTCTTGGAGAATATTCACCTGCACACAGATAACTTCACTGTCTGTCTTCAAGTAGAGATGAGACTAGTAAATAAGCACTAAAAGAGGGTTCATGAAGAAAGTGGACATGCAGCAGAAAGATACTGTCACTTCCTGTAAACACTGCACATGCCCACTTGGGGTTATTTTGGTTTTGTTGTTGGTTTTGAGGGATATCATTCTGTCTTGGGGAAATCAGAACATCCTCCCATCGGAACACTGACAGAGTTGGGCCCAGTGATCATGTCTGCTCCTGCTCTAAATACCTGACAGTCGTTTCACAGGCATAGAAAATCAAAATGTCAGAGCATAATGAGTGTGCTTCCTGGTGAGTGTGAGTTCTAGCTCTGGGGGGAGTCTCCTCCTACTAAACGTATATTAAGAAATACAGACGTAACTGGTGATTCTGTTTTATTGTCAGCAAAAAAAAAGTGTAGAAGAAAAATAGCCCTTCCCTCCCCATCCCAAAACCAGGCTGTGGACACGGCACTAGTGAGTGCCTGGGAGGGGCAGTGGAGAGCCCTGGCATGTGGTACCAAGAGGTGAGGCCTGAGGGTCTGCACGGCCAGGTCATTTTTACCATGATTTCTTATGGTCGTTTGAGCTAGAAGACGACGCAGAAGATGGAAGACATTATACTTGTTCATTTCTAAGATGCACGGATTTTTTCCCCTTAGACTTGAGCATCTGAAGTCAGGGTGCGTGTCACAGTTGAGGCAACCTAACTAGCAGCATTTTCCCTTTATCAGTGCCATCACCTTGATGAGCTATGACTTTTAGAAGTGGTAGTGATTGCGGTTCTGTGTTACATACTCTGGTTTTGATGCCACAGTTGTGCTTCTTTTCCTCGGTTGCAGGCATAGATCCCGGTCCCGGTCCCGGGAGCGTCGATCGAGGTCTCGAGACCGCGGTCGTGGTGGCGGTGGTGGAGGTGGCGGCGGTGGCGGAGGACGTGAGCGGGACAGGAGGCGGTCAAGAGACCGTGAAAGATCTGGGCGATTCTGAGCCATGCCGTTTTTACCTTATGTCTCCTAGAAAGTGTTGTAGTTGATTGACCAAGCCAGTTCATAATGGGAATTTTTTTTAAAAAACAACAAAAAAACACAAAGATGGGTTTCTGAATAAAATTTGTAGTGATACAGTATTCTTGGTGTAACTTATTTCTTGTGGAAATTCTTTTTTAAATTCCTTTACTTTCATAAACTGTCATTCATCAGTCCTTGAGTTAGGTAAATATCTATCACTGCATATCAATGAAACCAGATGTTTAAGGTATGAAATACAAGACACATGCCAGGAGAGGGAAAATTAATAGGAAAAGTCAGGTGTGTTTCTTGTTATTTTATCGATGTTATATTTCTTACCTATTCCTGAATTTTCTAGTTTTGCTTCAAGAGCTAGTGAACTGGGATGTGCCAGTGGGCAGTGGCTCACGCCTGTAATCCCACCATTTTGGGAGACCAAGGTGGGAGAATCACTTGAGGCCAAGAGTTTGAGACCAACCCGGGCAACATAGACCCCATCTCTACAAAAAATTAAAATGTTAGCCAGATGTGTTGGTGCATACCTGTAGTCCCAGCTACTCAGGAGGCTGAGACTGGAGGATTGCTTGAGCCCACAAGGTTAAGGCTGCAGTGAGCTGTGACTGTACAACTGTACTCCAGCCTGGACAACAGTGAGACCCTGTCTTGTGAGGAGGAAAAAAGGAAAAACCACCGTGCATTTCTGAAGTACAGACAGACAGTGAAGGGTGAATATGCTCAGTGCAGCACATTGAGAGCCAGCATCATGCCCTGGGCTCCATCATCACTGATAGCCGTGTCTTCAGACTACTGACATTAGGCCAGATGTGACTCTCATCTGTAATCCCAGCACTTGGGAGGCTGAGGCAAGAGGATTGCCTGAGCCCTGAGCTTCAGCCTGAGTAACATAGCAACACATCTGTACAAAAAATCGGGCCAGGTGCAGTGCCTCAAGCCTGTAATCCAGCACTTTAGGAGGCCAAGGCAAGAGAGTTGCCTGAGCTCAGGGGTTTGAGACCAGCCTGGGCAACTTGAGGAGACCTCATCTCTACAATAAATCAAAGAATTAGCTGGGCAGGGTAGTGCGTGCCTGTAGTTGCAGCTACTCTGTAGTTAACTGTCTGGGAGGCTGAGGCAGAAGGATCATGAGCCCAGGAGGTCAAGGCCACTGTGAACTGTGATTGTGACACTACACTCCAGTCTGGGTGACAGACTCTGACTCAAATAATACAGTAACTGACATTAATGGCAGTCACAAAATCCTGTAGTACACATTCGCTTTCCTTTAAAAGCCTTTGGCTGCTGGGCTCAGCCTGTAATCCCAGCGCTTTGGGAGGCCTAGGTGAGTGGATTGCCTGAACCCGCGGTTTGAGACCTGCCTGGGCAACTTGGCGAGACCTCATCTCTACAATAAATCAAAAAGTCAGCCGGGCGTGGTAGCGCATGCCTGTAATTCCGGCTACTCGGAAGGCTGAGGCGGAAGGATCGCCGGAGCCCAGCAGGTCGAGGCTGCAGTGACTGGGAGCGGCCACTGCACTCCAGTCTAGAAGAGTGACAAAGACTCCAAACCAAAAAAAAGAAATCTTCGACTGTTGTTACTTCCCCTAAACTACTGCTATAATAATAGGCAGTCCGTGTGCTGTGTCTCCATGTCATGGCAGCCAGTTGGCTTGTTCAGGGATAGCCCCACTCCTGAGTGCTGAGTGTTTATGCCTAAAACCAAAATACGGTTGCAAGTGGCTGGCTGAAGTCATGACTGGGTGTCACATATCTCATCCCAGTCTCCAAGCTGGGTGGGTCACCCGTGAGTTTCTAAGGGCCTGCCCTGGTGTACATCCACCCACTCCCACCTGCCTGATTGGGGTTTCAGGGAGTGTTAGATGAGCTACAGCTCTGCCGTAACCACAAGCTCCAGTGCATCCTGGAAGGATAAGCCATCCGGCCAGTATATTCCACGGAAGTTCATTTTTATGTGATGAAATTCTAAAGTGGTATTCTGTCTATTGAACAGGAGTTTTGTTCAGATTTAGTTTGTTGACGTTAAGCTTTTTTTTAGTCAGGGCCTCACTCTGTCACCCAGGCTGGAGTGCAGTGGCACAATCACAGCCACCCACAGCCTCTGCCTGGGTTCAGGTGATCCTTCTGCCTCAGCCTCTCATGCAGCTGGGACTACAGGGGCACACCACCACACCCAGCTAATTTTTCTATTTTTTGTAGAGACATGGTCTCGCTATGTTGCCCAGGCTGATCTTGAATTCCTGGGCTCAAACATTACATGTGTGAGTCACTGCACCCAGCCAAGTTTTGTAATACTATGGCAGTGGGCGGATAATTTTGGATGAATTAGTGGCACTTCTTGGTGACATAGGTAGTTTTATTTAAATCCATACCTCTAAAAAACTCAGTACAGATATTTTTTCACCTTAAGTTTGGTCCTAGTTATTTATGGTCATTTACTGAGTCATTTCCACTCAAACTGAAAGAGGGAAGATGGCAAATTGTATTTTGTATTTCTTGACATTGATCAGAGTCAGCTGTTCCTCTGAAAGTCTATTTTGGCAAGTAAATGAGGTGCCGTGAAAGGTATCTTCAAACACTGTTGAAGTAAGATACGCACACAGTGAACAGGGAACTTGTCACCCACACCCCTCAGTCCCAGGCAGGTCTGGGATGAAGGGACATTGAGGTGAGTTTGTCCCAAAGCCAGCCGCTGCCCTGTCTTGGTGTGGCTGCATGAATGATGGCTGGTAAAACGTAACCCATGAAATCAGCCCCTGCAACCCGTTATGGCAAGAAGAGTGACAGCTGTTATATAGGCCTGGGTCCCAGCAAGTTTCTGTAGAAAGTTAGAATATAAATACGCCACTTGAGATCATGTTGATCTGTAATGAATCCAGGTCCAAATACTACTGTAAATTGTCTCCTACCCTGAATCTTATATGATGTACGTTGAGATGTCAAACCAAGTGGCAGACAGCTGCTGAAATAAATGGTATATGAGGTGTCAGCACAGCTAGCTCATCAGTGGTGTCGCTCTCTGTCTTCCTTGCAGAGCATGTCCACTTGCGGTCTCGAGTGAGTAGCCACAGATTACTAAGTGCATGCGTGTGCAGGAGTTAGATCAGGGTCATTTTACATATATCTTTTCTCTCTCTCTCTCTCTCTCTCTCCCCCCCACTTTAATGTTCAGAGGTTGGCCAGAAGCAGTGGCTCATGCCTGTAATTCCAGCACTTTGAGAGGCTGAGGCAGGAGGATTACTGAATGCCAGAAACCTGGGCAACAGAGAAGAGGAAGAGAAAGAGAGAGGGAGGGAAGGAAGTTCAAGGAGATTAAAGTTCAAGGTCTTTTCTTTCCACCACATCTTAACTTCAGCCAATCTGGAGACCAACAGGTGGCTATCTTCCCTCACCCTTGCTCCAGGGGTGGCAGGACAGGGAAAACACAGTCACTAAAAGTCCATATGGTGATCAGAGGTCAGATCCCATGCCAGCCTTTCCCCAGGTGGCTTCCACTAGATGGGTGATGACGCAGATGGCACACTGTGGCTCTGAGGGAGGTAAGCTGTCCCTTCCTCCCCCTTGGGATTCACCCCAAAACAGGAGACCCTCTATCTTGCTCAGAAGGTGCAGTCTTTCCAGACACATCTGGCTCATTGGCTCATTTGCAGCCAGGGCATCATCCCTGGAGCAAACTAGACTCAGAAAACACTGTCTCTAACCATCTGGCAGACAAGTAATCAGGCACTACCTCCAAATCCCAGGTCTTTCTTTCTTTTTCTCTTTCTTTTTTTAAAATAAATTGAGCCCTCATTCCTGGAGCAGCAGACATGTTTCCCAAGTCAAAAAGAATAGAATACTTGGACTGGGCACAGTGGCTCGTGCCCATAGTCCTAGCACTTTTGGAGGCCAAGGTGGGAAGATCGCTTGAGGCCAGGCATTTGAGACCAGCCTGAGCAACATAGCGATACCTTGTCACTATGAAGAATACAAAAATTAGTCAGGTGTGGTGGCATGCACCTAGAATTACAGCTACTCAGGAGGCTGAGGTGGAAGGATCACCTGAGCCCAGGAGGTCGAGGCTGCGGTGAGCTGTGAGTGTGTGCCACTGCCCTCCAGCTTGGGCAACAGAGTAAGACCCCGACTCAGAAAAAAAAAAAAAAAAAAGAATACTTGGGAAGAAATTTAACCAGTGAAGTCCAAAACATATACCACCAAAAATCACACAGCATTGCTGAAAGAAATGAAAGACCTAAATGAATGAAAAGACCTCCTGTGTTCATGGGTCAGAAGATCTGGTGCTAGGTTGGCAGCATTCCCCAAGGCAGTCTACAGATCCACTGGAATCCCCTTCACAGTCCTAGCTTCCACTTTGCAGAAACAGAAAAGCTGATCCTAAAATTCCATGTGGACTTGTTGAGGGACCCTAAATGAACAAGACAATCTTTAAAAAGGACAAAGCTAGCCGGGCTTGGTGGCTCAGCCTGTAATCCCAGCACTTTGGGAGGCTGAGGTGAGTG